GATTTATGTACCAGGCATCTTAGTCAAAATAAGGTAAGTATCTCGGAATTCAAGATACCCAGCTATAAACTAGTATAAACTTGTATTTTGACATCCTAAAAGTTGTCTCGAAACCTACATATGGTAGAGTGAACGCGACTATTGAAATCTAAGGTCAACAGTCACAAGAATCGATTTTATTGTACATTTTTTGTAATTAGCTCGTTTCGTATGGGTTTTTTGCTATTTGTATTCAATACAAATATCATAGGGGATTGAATTCCTTACAACTTTTGTTTCAATTTTTTTTACGTTGAATGGTTTTCGAGATAGAGTTTGCTGAGGGCGTAGTTATAGCATCATTTATGGTCAAGCGGTAGTCCCGGTCAGAAACACGCCATATGAAGTTTATTAATTATTGACAAATATACAGGGCTATTCAAATTCGTTTCTGTACATGGGAATCTCGTAAACGATAAGGGATAGAGTGTCGGTTAAATTGTGGCAAAGTTTTGTATTTTAGAGACCTATTCAATGATGTAAAGAAATCGAATATAGCTCTTTTGGTTCTGGAGATATACAGGAAAAACAGAAAAAAATCCCAAATTATTTTTTTGCGTATATCTTCTTTATTCACAATTATTTTGAAAATCTGTCCACATTTTGCTATTGGCACTTGATGTGGGCTCTCAGAATATATCCATGAATCTTCTATACAGGGTGTCATCTGACTTGGGCCGTATTTGAATTTTTAAATACGGACCTGTATTTTTTGTTGTAGTTTTTGGATCGTAGACATTCACTTCATACTGAGAAATTAAATTCAATTTTATATTTCGGGGTGTTTCGGTAATATTCGATTATAATTGTGTGAATTACTCCCTTTTAGATTACGGCCCTGAAGATTAGTTGACTGAGTTGAATAAAAACATTATAGCAACTTTCACGCCTCCCTATATATCGTAGAGTTTTTCGAGAGTTTTTTTTTCATTTTTAGGTACCTATTCATATTTTTTCCATTGCTCTGAGCGTTTTCTACAATTAACTTCGAATGAGAAAACCTTTTATGATTATTTGAAACATATCTACATCAAAAATATATTATATGTATTTTAATAAGCAGAAAAAAAATTGATAGCAAAAATAACATCCGAAACGAAAACTATAATTGTAATGAAAATTGAAATGAAGTAATTTATATAGGTACCCAAAAAAATTATTGGCGCTATAAATGTTCGAATTGGAGTCCTTCCATCAAAATCCTTAATCTCGAGTCTTCCACATTTTATATCTCTCTGCCACCAGCGTAACTCCTATTTTTCAATGTCCCCCACAGAAAATAGTCCAAAATAGTAGGAACTGGTGACCTTGCAGATCATCTTATTGTCCCATTATATGTCTCGAAATGGAAGGACATTTATTGCACAATTATTTTTTTTTGTGTATATAAATTACTTACTTCATTTCAATTTTCATTATAATTATAGTGTTCGTTTCGGATGTTATTATTGCTATCTTTTTTTTCTCTGCTCATCAAAACACATATAATATATTTTTGTTGTAGATATGTTTCAGATAATCACAAAAGGTTTTCTTATTCGAAGTTCATTGTAGAAAACGCTCAGAGCAATGGAAAAAATATGAATAGGTACCTAAAAATGAAAAAAAAACTGTACGGTACATAGGGAGACGTGAAATTTGCTATTGTGTTTTTATTCAACTCAGTCAACCCATTTCCAGGGCCGTAACTTAAAAGGGAATAATTCAAATAATTATAATCGAATATTACCGAAACATCCCGAAATATAAAATTTAATTTAATTTCTCAGTACGAAGTGAACGTCTACGATCCAAAAACTACAACAAAAAATACAGGTCCGTATTTAAAAATTCAAAAATGGGGGTGGCAAACAAATAATTTGGGATTTTTTGGTTTTTCCTGTATATCTCCAGAAACAAAAGAGCTATATTCGATTTCTTCACATCATTGAATAGGTCTCTAAAATACGCAACTTTTCCATGATTTAACTGACACTGTATCTCTTATCGTTTACGAGATCCCCATGTACAGAAACGAATTTGAATAGTCCTGTATAATAATTATTAATTTTCATTTCTATGCTTTTTGAAAAAGGCAAAAAACTTTTCAAAAGCATTTGAAAAACTAGCGAAACTTGCAGCAGCATTTAAAGAACGAAAATGACCGGTTCAAATATTCGTTATTCAAAATACATTACATCTACAAAACTGAATAAACCTGTGCAGTTATCAAATATTTCACCAACTGTCCTGCACTAATGAAAGGCAATACCTCTAAACCGGTCTGTAGGTGATCTATTCGAATAATTTCAGCATGGTGCTGTTGCTAGATAAACGAGAACTAAGCGAGACTAACCTTTGTGAGGTATCTTGCATAAATGTTTGTCGCATATAATTCAATATCCCGCATAGTATCAGCAGGAAAGTAGTTGTTTTCCGGCAGATATTTACCTGAACCTACGGTGTATCTTGCATACACCGTATGTTGGAAGTGAATGTTTATTTCATCTGGTTTTGCATTATCCAACGGATCGATCTTCGTTTCCATTCCATCAGAAGGCTCGGTAATGTGAGTCAAGACCTGCATTTTCTGGATTTTGATGAGGAAAATATTCGATATTCAGTAAAGTTATCATCATTACAGTACCTTATTTGGTTTAGATTCTCTTCCAATTCAATTCTGCCACTAAACAAAAAAAATGTTTGGTGATGTTTAGGACCTCTAACATCTGGATTGAGAAAAATTGGGAAAATCAGAATACATATTTACATTCATTAATAAAGAGTATTTTTATAGGACATCGGCTACGGAGGCACATCTTCACCGGCAGCAGAAGGTGATTTCGAATTGTGGTGAAAGCAACCGTGTTGAATTCAATGCCACAAAAACCTAGGCATCAGTTTTCTCCAAGAAGTTAAATGTCTCCAAACTGGATATAATAATGTCAGGTCAGAGAATTTCGCTTTCTGTTTAGATAAATTCGTTGGGTGTTAAAATGGATGTCTTGGCACAATTACGTCTCTGGATTTGCATAGGCTGCTTCTCAAGAGCTTGGAACACTGTTCCGAACCAGAAAACTGTACACACCTCAGCAACTTCTGATGCTTTATAAAGCTCAGATTAGACCTTCTTTGGAGTGTCGTTCTCATGCATGAAGCTCTGCCCATACATACCCAGAAGTTGCTGAATTCCATCTATAAAAGAGCCGTCCGCCTGATTGGAGACGCGTGCAACCTCCGGTGGGTTGGGCTACCTACCGGGCGCGTCTCCAGGTGGCGGATAGGGGAACGGCTACGAGACTGGGAACCCTGTGGAAAGCCAATATGGCTTTATGGATGGGGTCGCTGGACTCCTGATCAGTGGCAGAAATAAGTAGGGAGAGGGTAACTAAAACTCCCCAAAAGCCTTTGCGAAACATGCCACCGTGGACCAGCCTACCCAAGCTAAGGTGTAAGAAATCGTGCCGACAGCTGAAAAAAAAGGTGTAGAATTTTAAGTTGGCAACATTTTTTCAACTGGCGGCCATTTTGTCCGCTGTCAAGTGATTTAGGTTCAGTGTTCATTTTGGTTTGGCATTCCAACATGAATAGACTGACGCCTGAACAACGCTTCCAAATTGTGCAAATTTATTTTGAAATTCAAAAGTTCTGTTAGAAATACCTTCATATCGCGCCTTACGTCCATTTTACGGTAGACACTGCTGTTGTAGAGCGAATCGTAGAGGAAGACCTTAATGACTGATTAGGAAGACCCTAATCATGTGATATACTGTTTGGAACCTTTGGTGTAGTAATGAATATTACCGGAGTTTTTTCCCAACACCAAATCGTTATTTTTACACCTCGACACGTGTTTCGATCACCAAGTGATCATCTTCAAGAGGAAGATAAAACAGTTTTATCTTCCTCTTGAAGAGTTTGCTGGTGGAGTTTTCCCAACTCCACCAGCAAATTTACTTTCGAAGAAATGAAAGCCGAGGGATGAGTTACTACTAGAATATATTAATTTTCTTACTTAGCTATCCAAAGATTGGCTGAATGCTTAGGGTATGCACAAACAAAAATGAATTTTGGTGATTACAAAAATAATAATGGGAATTATTCTACTTTGGACCAAGGTCCTTGGTCTTCCACCATATCCACCATGTATAGGAATATTCAATACAAATTAAAGGAAAAACACTTAAATAATATTGTGCTTATTGTTTTTGACCAATATTTTTTCTATCTTCACGGCCCGAAATTTCCCAACTTTTCCAAGTCGAAAAAACAGCGAAATGTTGTGAATTTTGTAAAATTGTCACTTCAAAATTTGTGGACTGTTCAGGACTGTTTTCTTACTTGGGAGAAATTAAAATTTTTTGAAGATTTCAAACACCTCAGAATTCTCTTCAAGTTATGCATGTTGGGAAATCCCAACCTTCTCCTGGTTCTTTCCCTTTTCTTATTACCTCTCCTTTTCTTTTCACTAGTTTTTATTTTTTTAATTAGTACTTAATATTTTTTTTACTATATTTTTTTTCTATCTTCATGGCCCAAAATTTCCCAACTTTTTCCCAAGTCGAAAAAGCAGGGGGGGAGACTCCCCCCGTCCCCCACCCCTATGGCGACGGTCCTGCATATGCGGTTTTCACCATTAAGTTTGTCATAGCCACCAGTTTTCACATATATCTAGTTTGAAAACAGGAGTTTCCCTTTGAAAGTGTCCAATTTTGCCCACTCTGTACACTGAATCCGAGAAAATCCAGGAAGTTAATATTATTGCTACTGTTATTTCTTTCAAGCTCCAAAATGATTTTCGGCCACAACATCTCATTCTACAAACGCATACAAAAAACGAAACTAACAAGGTCGTGTCTACTACCACCCAGCAGGAATGTCAAATAGTAATCTTTCATGAATGAACTGCCCACCAAGCATCTGCGACAAGGATAAAAATCAATTACAGCGGGGAAGACTTCAAATATTCAAACGACACTCACCAAATGAAATCCTTGCAATGCGAACAGAACGTTGGCTGCTTGAAGAACCTGGGGATGAACCGATGGTCTTTGATGTTGTAGACGTTTTTCTTTTTCAGCGCACCTTTCCTGCCGCGTAACCTTAACCCAAATTTCGTATTGAGATCACTGGCATCGTCGTTGAAGTTGTCGTCTTCCGCCATATCTACCGCTCAATTGATCGCAGATGAGAGACCAAACATGTATTATTACTGGAGCACAATGAACGGCACACTGCCCGTCAAATGTCAATAGTCCGGTATCTATTCAAGTAGGTATATTTAGTTTTAGGTGCAACAGTTGCCGCACGGGCTACGAGACTGCTTTCAGTGCTGCTTGCCAATTTCCTGTGCGATAAAACGAGACAAAGCGAACGGGGGGAGTTGCGCAATCGCATTGATTGTACTCGATTGGGATATACCATTACGCTGTTACGTTACCTTACCCTTCCCGAAGGGCTTTCGGTCTTTACTTGCAGATTTTCGGAGTTATGAACGCTTACGCAACGCTTTCTATGGGTTTTCCAGCTTTCAGCTTAAACGATTTTTATCTAGAGCTTGTTTATATAAGATAAGTATCTCACGGGTTATTATTTGGGGAAAACATAGGCGTAGTTATAGTCACAGATTTAGCTACAGTAAACACCGTGGAAATCAGATCAACTGAGATATAGGGATTCCTGCAAGTTAAAAGAGAGAACAGAGAACACCTAGAAATGGTTAGTGGCATAAACAAAAATGGCGTAGGTATTCGGCGCAAAATAAGTCATTTCCATTGCTATCATTTGTTTATTTCATAACTCGAAAGTTGGTCCTTTTGTATATTGAATTATTTTAAAAAGTAGTAAACCATAATAAAATATAGACCTGTGATGCACAATAAGATATAAAGAACACTGAGGACACCTTAAATATGGAAGACCAGAAAAATCAGGAGTCGCCCATCATATTTTGCATCAAAACCATTCCATAGACTTTAGTTCATTAAGATTAGTTAGACAAGTTAACAACAACAGGCATCTAGATGCCTATGAGAGTGTAGAAATAAGTAAACCTCTGTATTTGTAAAGTAGGGAGGAGGAGTGTAGACTCACAGCACTTAGGCCACATGTGACCCATTGTACATCCTCCCAAAGAGTTGTCCTCCTAGGTCATCGTCCATTCTGTCCTTTCCAGGAAGGTAAACAGGTCACTAGGAGACATCTCCTTCATATTGGCAGGTAAGACTCATCGAACACACACTCTCTTTGGCAACCTTGAGGTGTCTCACGGTGGCCTCCGCGAAGGTTTTGGAAGGTGCAGCGATATTACTGTTATTGCGCAGCTTCTTCAACCTTCTTGGGGTTCCCTCCATGAAGGTGCACAATTGAGAAAGCTTTCCTGCAGAGGCAGCCGCTTCCTTGTCAAGGCGAAGCTCTTGGCGCTCTCCGCAGGAAGGTCTCTTGTTGTTGGAGGTGATCTGCTATGTCCAGCCTCATTTCCAGCGGTAGATTGGGGTGGACATTTCTGTTCATCCCCAGCCACCGCCTTAGATTGAGGTGAGCACTTCTGTCCAGCTTCGGGATTGGTTTTTGTTTTTGTTGTTTCTGTTGTTTCATTCATGTGTGTTCCCACGAGAAGCAAGGGAAGAGTTGGTCACCTCTGGCAGAACCCCGCATTAACAGAGGTAGGCTGATTACAATGAGGTTTCGCCCAATGCCCTAAAGGGATCGTTCGTGACCGCATATCACCCTGCGGCCATTCAGCTGTCGATTTCTTACACCTCAGCTTGGGTAGGCTGGTCCATGTTGGCATGTTTTGCGAAGGCTTTTGGGGAGTTTTAGTTCCCCTCACCCTACTTATTTCTGCCACTGACCAGGAGTCCGGAGACCCCGTCCGTGAGGCCACATTGGCTTCCCGGACAGGGCCTCCAGTTCCTTATCACCTGAGGACGCGCCCGATAGGTAGCCCAATCCACGGGAAATAAGTAAACTTAATAATATTATGATTAACGATAGTGGACCAATACTTTAGAATACTATATAGCTTGTTGAAATAATATTTTATTATCAGATTTACCTGACTGTTAGATAGGCAATATTGTAAAATTAATTTAAGACAATTAAGACGCAGGTACCTAGCAGAGGTATCTATGGTATAAATACACGTGTCGAGGTGTTAGAAATAACGGTTTGGTGTTAGGAAAGAACTCCAGTAATATTCAAAATATCGACCTTTTTATATTTAGGGAATTTTTTAGGTACTAGGAATATACCTAATACTAATTTTTGACATGATGGCGGTATTGATATTGTAATTCGAAAAGATCAAAATAGCTACAAAGTTATTGAACGTTGATTCGAACGATATACTATGATAATAATAGTTATTATTATTTTATATTCATTTATACAATGTAAGAGGAATTTAAGACGAAATATCAAAAAATGAAGAGATAATTTTGAAGCTTATTTATTTTGTTTTCAAAGGTAGTTTCAATGATAACAATAATAGAAAATTTAACTCAATTTTCTATATCTTCTTTATAATTAGAACTAATCTGAACCTGAATCCGAACAAGAAAAATAAATAATGTTTTTTTATTGTGAAACTTCTGCTTCTACTAAGTCAGTTCGGTATTAACAAAAACCAAGAAGTGAGGTTCTCCTGATTTTCATCAATGTTGCCTGAACTGATTGAGCGACAAAAAATTCATAGAAAACAGTTTACATTTCATTAACTTTCTTCTCAAGTACTTGTACTGTTCATAAAACGAGTTGAATGTTCAAATTCCACAGGCTACGTACATTTGATTGGCGATTTTTTATGTTGGTTCACTCGTCTCGAACATATGTTCACAATTGCAGCTGCTTAGAATGTTCAGTTTGTTGATGAGTGGTATAAAAGTCAAAAGTATTTCACATGTTCGGCGATTTTCCGCTATCGAAAAAAATATATCAAAGAATTTGCATCAAATTTTGAATAAAAAAAGGAATCAAGTGCTTGAAAACCTTGAAATGTTACAGTGACATACGGTGATTGTACTCTGAGTACGACCAACCAGCCTTACATCCTTCCTGTTGAAAGGACTTGAGAGGATACTGGATGGACACATCAGGAGGGTGGCATTATATGCAGCCTCCTGAATAACCACCAGTATGCTTATCAAACCGAAAAATCGACAGATTTAGCATTAAACAACCTTGTAGAGAAAATGTTCCAATCCCTTGGCAACAAAGAAACTGCGGTTGCTGTATTTCTTGATATTGAAGGACAATGCACTACCTAAATCTATAGGATCATCTCTGGCTAGGAAAGGTATAGAATCGACCATAACCAGCTGGATCTATGCCATGCTGGTGAACAGAACTGCAACTACGACTCTTCAAGGCGAGGCCATTAGGTTAAGGGTCACTGGAGGCTGCCCTCAAGAAGGGGGACTATCTCCTCTTCTGTGGTCGCTCCTGATGGATAGTCTGCTTGATGCTCTCGACAGAAGAAAAGTAGATCTGCAAGCTTATGCAGACGGTCTTGTCATCTTGGCAAAGTCCACGTCGGGAAGGGTAGCTTGTAATATCCTCTAAAGTACGTTGGACATGTCGAAGGATTTGTGATAAAACTTGGGGTTTAGGTCCCGAACAAATCCATTGGATTTATGTGATGATTGTTAGACCAATGATCACTTATGGTGCAATTGCCTGGTGGTCGAAGGCTTTACAGAAACGGCCATGGCGAAGCTCTCTGGCTTACAAAGACAAGCTTGTTTGGTCATTAGTGGTGCCATTAGTACCACACCGTCAGCGACCATGGAGATCCTTGTAGATCTACCTCTTCTCCATATTTTTTTGGAGAGAGAGGCTAGATGGACTGCATATAGACTTGTACACATTATCAATTGCACAAATCAATGTGATGCAACAGACTGTTGGTTGACAATGAAAGTCACAGCATTCTGGAAATGACCTCTGACTTCATGCCTCCAACTGTCAACTACGAACTGCCTTATAAAGTACTGCTCCCGAGTAGAGAGGACTGGATCCTCCGGGAGAAGAAAATATCAAGAGCAGATAGTTGTTGGTTCACAGGTGGATGAAAAACACCTTCCGGTTCTGGTGCAGGTATTTTCAGTCGCAGACCCAGGACACAGCTATCTACCTGCGTAGGAACATATGCGACTGTATTTCAAGTGGAAATTTAAGCTATTGAATTGTGTGCAGAGAGATTGGAAGAATCCAACCTCATTCACAAGTCAATAAAAATATTCTCGGACAGTCAGAAGCTCTTGGCTCCTACCGAGCAACATCTAAATTGTTAACAAATTTCCAAAAACGACTCTCCTCGATAGGAAGATTTAACAGATTATCTCTGGTCTGGATTCCTGGCCATACTGGCCTGGAAGGCAATGAGGCTGCCGACTCCCTTGCAAAGGAGGATGCTGCAAGCAGCTTCAACGGACCAGAACCTTTCATTGGCATCGCTTTAGGCTTTGCGAAACAAACATTGAAAACCTGAATGGCAAGAAGATTTATGGACTTCTGGCAGAATCTTCCAGGATTGGCTCATTCCAAGACGTTTATTTAGCCTTCGAAGTTTGATACCAAACAGTTGCTGGACTACAGTAGGGATGAATTGCGATGTCTAACAGGCCTTCTTACCGGTCACTGTCATTTGAATCATCATATGCAGAAACTCGGACTGTCGGAATACAGTGTGTGTCGCATCTGTTTGGAAAATGATGCAACAGCAGAGCATATACTTTGTGCCTGCCCCGCTGGGGACCGAATCAGGTTTTTAGAGTTCCGCAAAACCGTACTCATACCATCTGACCTGAAAGACCACTCACCATACAAACTAATCGGCTTCGTTAAAAAACTGGGTTTATTTGGTCGAATAGGTGTGAGCCACAATAAACCCTTGCAGGTTGCGGTGGAGGGTCGAATAGAATCACTTACTTTAGACCTAGCCCCACCTATATTTCAGACGATGTCAATTCACATTCACAGTTGTACAAAAAATATTGTTTAAATTTTGTGTACTCAAAAAATTCGTTTTTTCATGGCACATTCTAGAAATATTAACACTCTCATGTGCCATTGAAAAATAGTCATTTTACGCACTTAATACAAAAATAACTATTTTTTGTTGCTGAACCAGATTTTCACAAAAAAGACCTAAGCTAACATAACCTAACTCTGAGTCAAAAAAGTGTTTAAGCTTTTCACAGAGGTTCGAGAAGATGTGAATGACGACGCCCGGTCTGTACGCCTCAGCACATCAACAACTGATGAAAATGTTGAGAAAGTGAAGAAAATTGTTATGGAGAATCATCGAATCACTATTAGAGAA